ACTGCATTCGTTGTCTTACTCGCTTAAGCACCGCATCTGACTCTGCAACCCCAGCCGACAAAAAAGAGAGTGTATGCACAGCTTTCTTGTTTGCACGGCATAGCATGTCTAACTCGGAGAACAATGTCGTGTCAAATGACACGCCAAAAAAGGACACGTTGTCAAAATCACGTTGTCCTTCTTTTCCAACATCTACCGCAAAGAGGCATGTTCCCCGGCGTGATTCCCTTGTCAAACATGCCTCTTGCAAAGCCTTTGAAGCCAGCAGGATGCGAAAATAAAGCAAATCAAAGTGAAAGTTGCAGTGTAAGGCCTGCTCCGGTACTTTGAAGCAGACTGTTTGCGATGCGTTGAAGTTGTTGCTGTACAGATGCTTTTCAGATCGTTTCGTTCAGGTCGATTTTCGAATTGATTGTGTCGATTTTGAAGTAACGAGTTAGTGTGGCCATTGCAAAGTGGCTAAGAAACCGTGTTTGAGGAATTGTCTTTCGTGGGCATTGCTGAACCACTCTAGCATATTGACCACATTCCACTTTTAGTTTGAGTGCTGAGAAAACATTCCTCACCGAGCGATTGCATCCGAAAGCAGATTGCAACTTCGATCGAAATTGCTTGAATTGTGTTTGCATTGAATTTTTTCTTCATGTTGTGCATTCCAGAGGAGTTTGAAAGTTTCCATTGAACTTTTCACAGTCGCGGAGCTCTGCAGCGAAACCCAGGGTGCTAGCAGAATCCAAAGGATTGGCGGTGAGATCAAATTGTTTCCGCCGCCTACATTTGAAGGAGAGCACGGTCGCTGGAAAGATTGGTCCGGGCAACTGAAGGCATATGTTGCATTGTACAAGCCTGTAGCCCAGGAATTGATGGAAAGGATTGAAGGTTCGAATGTCCCGGTTGACGACCTTTCAACACAAGCTGAAGAAACCAGTAGCTACGTTGGACAGGAATTGGTGAAGTCCGCGAAGCAATTGCATTATCTTCTTGCTAATTTGAACTGAAGACGCTGCGCGATTGATTGTCAGGCTGAACGAGCCAGGCAACGGATTTGAGACATGGAGACAATTGCATGAGCGCTTTGCATTGCCAAGTAGAGCGAAGGGAGTGAGTCTTCTTAGCAAATTGTTGGAGCATCAGTTTCGTGACGCACATTTCGAAGCGCATTTATCCGAGTTCATTGTTCTCAAGAACAAGCATGAGAAGGCGACAGGTCAGACATTGCAGGATGATTTGCTTGTCACATTGATTGAAGACGTTTGATCAGATGCTTGTCATTGTGAAGAACTATTATCAGAGCAGACACTTGGTGAGCGAAAAATTGCATGATCATTCAGGTCCTGCACGCACGGACATTGGAGCAGCATGGATAAGGGATATTCATGGAACAAAGGAAAAGGAAAGAAAGGAAAGAAAGGAAAAGGAAAAGGAAAAGGAAAAGGAAAAGGAAAAGGAAAAGGATTCCCGAAAGGCAAAGGAGACAAAGGACTTATGAAAGGTAAAGGGAAAGGATTTGAGAAAGGAGCATTCAAAGGAAAGAGCAAAAGTAAAGGAAAAGGATTTGGAAAGTCATTCAAGGGAAAAGGAAACGGACAAGGATGTTTCATTTGCCGATCACATGGTCATTGGGCGAACAATTGTCCGAAAGCAAACACGCAAGCGGCCCTTTGGCAGATTGAGGAAGGAAGTGAATGGAATGAAGATTGGAACGAGCACGTTCGGAATAGTTGCATTCATGTATTCCTTTGCGTGTTAGTTTGCTGCGAAACAAAGTAGACCAAAAATGGCCACGTGATATGGGTCAAAAACGGACGGTTTCCTACTGTGCTGGCGTGGTGCAGTCTTTGTTGTTGCGTGCATTGTTGGAATCATGTGCTGGTATTTTCGTTTGCATTTCGTAGCACGGAATGCCGTAGTGGCATCAGTCATCATGGCTTTGTCTTCACATGCCCAACGTTGGATCCCGGCACCTGTGTGGCAGCTACTGCCAGAACCGCCACATTCCCAACAAACTCACCTTGAGACATGCTCATTTCCATGAGGTAAATATCAGGTATTCGGTCACCGTATTTTCAAATGCACCATGGTTCAAGCTGAGTTAGAGTATGAGCAAGGACGGGAAAGACAGATTATGGATGGGAGCGAAACGGTGCACCATCAAGTATTGTTATCGTAGAAGAGCATGGAAAACCAACTGTGTCCAAAAGCTACCTCGACGTCAATTTCCACGCATATTGCGGATGTCCAAACATGATAGTGATCGCCGGAATCAGTTCCCATCAAGTGCACAGCCGAGACATCCTTGACCGCAAGATGTAGATCTAAGAGCCCACGCTTTTTCGCGATGGCAGACCCGACGGCGCCGCCTGTCGGCTATCCGCCACCCGGTTACCCACCACCGGATGGATATGCCTTTGGCTATCCAGCCCCGCCGGCCTATGGCCCTCCGCCTGGCTATCCTCCTCCAGAGTACAGTTATCCGCCAGCCTACGGCGCCCCACCAAGCTATGGTGCACCGCCAGCGTATGGTTATGGACCGCCGCCACCGAGCTACGGACCACCTCCGGAAAGCTACGGCTATGGGCCCCCGCCAAAATACGGGGCGCCTCCGAGCTACGGAGCCCCGGCTTACGGATCACCATACGGCGCTTCAGCTTCTTCTTCAGGATCTGCACCAGGCTATGGGGCGTCAGGGCCTGAGAGGTTACTGCTTGTTGCTGATGGTTCGTGGGACTTGAGGCACCATCTTAGTTCGGATGGCCGTGTTCTGGGCGGCATCTTGATACGGACCTGGCACAGTGCTGCGAGGTTAGAAAGGAGCTCCTCAGCCTCGGGTGTTCTGCTCTCAGTTTCATCGGGCACGATATGCGGTATCGGCATGGCATGAGTGCCCTTCAGGGGCCGAGAAGAGAAAGCTCTGGCAGACCGCAGCAGCACGACCCTCGGCACGGTTGCTTTGGCAGCCCCTTGTTGATTTCCTCTTGCAGAAACTTCTGCCTTTGTCTTGTATCTGAGCCGTTGTTTTGCGCTCAAGTCGTATAGCCTCTTCGAAAGCTCTTGAGGATTCGAGGACTGCTGAAACAGGGCCGGCTTCCTGAACCATTGACATAATTTGAGATAATGTTCTGTCTGTGTCAACAGTCTTGGTCCATTCCGGTGCATGGATAAGGGATGTCTGAGTTTGGCCACCGAATGTTCTCAACTGCAAATGTGGGGCCTACACGTGTCAGAGCAGTCAAAGAGTTGGATGAAATCTACTGGAAGATTTTACAGCGCATCACCACTATGGCGTGTTTGGAAGCTGCAGAACTTCTTGTAAAGTCTGCTGCTTCTTAAATTTTGGCGAGCATGAGAGAAAGCACATCTGATGGCAACTTCAGGCGTTCTACTCGGATTAAGGGAGCATGATGCCGCAGCTTTCAGAATAATCGACAGATGGTGCATATTCACGTTGCCATACGCAGGACTTCGGATGTCAACCTGGCCCGAAGTTGCAATCCAGCACCTGCTGGACTGACTTTGAGAGGGAATGCATGGAGCGAGCAAGTGACATGGCGGCAGAGGAGATGATATTCCTTGATAGTTATTCCTTGTGAGGCAGGCTCAATGCTTTGAATTGCTAGGTCTGTTCTGTGCCCAGCCACAAGAAGTTCATGTTCTGGCCTTCAGCCTTTTACTCCCTAGGTACGGAATTTTCTTGTAGATTCAATGTTGCTCGGCACCTCCACAGAGTGTCGTGAACCAGTGCGATGGTAGTCGAAGAGTCTGAGCTGGTGGACAAGCTTTTGGGCCAGTGGATCAGTTCCACGTTGGGTTTGGTACAGGTCCGGCGCAAGACAGGTCCTGGGGACAAAGGCCGTCCGTCTGTGCTGGAGGTGTGGGAAGGAAGGGGTGGGGACTCACACGGACAGGGGCCCTGTCGGCCCAGAGCACATGTGAAGCTTCGGAGTCGCAGAGAGCCCGAGCTTCCTCAAATCGGACTCGTTTGGGATCCGGGCCAAGGCCGCGGCCCGCATGGAGAGCGGAGCGTTTGGTTCTTGGACTCAGAGCACAGCACGACGACTCGTGTGCGATGGGTGCAGCAGGACGCGACTCAAGAAGAGGTGTGGGATGGTGCGTTCTTACCAACTCTTCGAAAGGCAGCTGTCTGGGCCCGCCATCACGCTCTGCAGCCGCAGCTGGACGAAGCATGGATGCACTTGCAGGATCCAAGCAAGTCGACACAGCCGCTCCCTTACTCTGTTGGAATTTGCACAGCTACCATGAACAGACTCTGGCAGTTGCGTCGAGCTTTACCACTGACACTGATGCATTGCTGGCCGTATCGGAAGTCGTGCTGTGTTCATGTGGTCGACCTGGGCAGCAAGGACTCCAGCTTCAGGTTTTTGCTGGAGCGGTGCCGCTTTGCCATGGAATGCGGTCTGCTGCGAGTCTACAAAGCAGAGGAGAAGTTCTGGCATGCATCAGTGGGCAAGAACACGGCACATGCTGTGGCTGACCAGCACATTCTCGTGAATGTCGACAGTGATAACTTAATTGGCGCGAGTTTTTTACAGGATGTTTGTGAGCGCTTCAAGGACGGTGCTGCTGTTGCCCAGTACGAACACGGTCAAGGTACCTGCGGTCGAATCGCGGCCAAGAGGTCCGATTTCATGGAGATCGGCGGCTATGATGAAGATGCATACCCAATGGGTTGTCAAGACACCGACCTGGTCTTACGCTTGAAAGAGCTTGGCCGTGGACACCACTCCAAGGGAGGAAGCGCGGCTCTTTCACAAGCCATTCTCAACACAACGGAGCAGAAAGTCGAACACTGCGATCCTGTCTTGGAGCTCAAAAAATGGGGTCAAATGAATGTGCCTTAGACCGCAATGGACTTCTTGGTTTGTTCTCTGCGACTGCTTGATGGCATGAAACCACCTGGTTGCAAGCTCGGGTGACCATGTTTGGACATGCTTGCCCGCCATGTTGTGCTACCACGTGCAGCCCGACCTTGCTTGGATGCCAGTTCTACTTCCGATACGCTAAGATTCAAGATAACCAGGCTATGGCTTTGCTCATATCGATGTTTCAGCCGGAGCGAGAGGCAGAAGGGAGCGAGCTTCCAAGTTGAGTGCCATACGACCACAACATGAAACAAGAAAGACAGATACACACGGGGAGTGGGGGGGACAAGAAAGGTCCGATCACAGCCGGGGCCCATGCGAAAGGAACAAAAGCGAAGATTGAAAGATTGATAGATTAGGTGCTCTGAGTCTCTGCAAGCTCCGAAATGCTGTCGGTGTTTTCTGCAATGCCAGCAGCATGCTGAGTCGGCCCCCTCAAAGCCCAGGAGTCGAATCGACGAGTGTTCCACCAGCGCCGGACAGAGGGAAAGCTGAAGCGGAATGAGAGCAAGGTGTCCGTGGCTGTGTAGCCTCAAGGGTCTCGTAGATCACTTGATTGAAGATACCTTCCAGGCACGAATTGGAGTGCCGGCGAAACACTACTTCTACAAGGATGTGATGCGCAGTGCTTTGTTCGCGGTTGAATTTCCGCTTACTGGGTGCAAAGCTGACTATCCGTAAAACATCGAATTTGCAACCCTGAATCCTCGACCCTCACCCAATCGCCAGGACGGCATCTTGTCGAAGTCAGTGCTGAATGGGGATGCTGATCAGCCAGAAACATGCTGAGATGCGAAGAAAAAGATGTCGGAAGACACCTGACCCGTTGAGACTGTTCAGGTTTGTCTGTCCGTGCGCTTGTTCTGTAATTGTCCTTTGCTGCTGGGTTTTTTCATGTCGGGGATGGCGTCCACCTTTAGCTCCCCCTCCAACCCACCGCCCTCATCGTCTCCTCTTCGTGGCCCTAGTGCCTCGCAAAGCTAGGAAAGACAGAGAGAGAGAGAGAGAGACAGAGAGAGAGAGAGAGAGAGGCAGACGACCCTTAAGCAGCCTCTCCCCTCCTTCACCCTCACCCTCGTTCTTGCCTTCGCTCTGCACCGTCATGTGTCTGGGTGCTCTCACAAGTGTCATTTGTCCCCGTTGCCTGGCAAATCATTCCGAAACCAGCAGGCACTCAAAAAGCAGCCCTTCACAATCCTGAAGCTCCAACAGAAGCACGCTTTGGGAGACCCCTCCCGGCAGTCGGAGCAGCATGATCTGCACGAGTCTTGTCCAGGACTGTGCTGCTTTGGATGTTTTGGCAGCCTTGGCCCGGTGCAGTGGCGAACCGAGATACTCGAGTAGAGCCCAGGTTACGGTGCGCATTGTGCAAGATATTGCTGGCCCGAACGAACATTGATGAACATTGGCTGGAACCAACGTCTTGCAACAGGTCGTGCCGCTGCTGAAGCAGTGTCGGCCACCAAAGAGGTTCTTCAGGTGGGAGTCTCAGAATGATTGGAAGCTGCATGCATGTTGTGGATTCAGCCATCCGTCTTGAAAGCTCGAGGAGCGGTTTGCCAGAGAAGATTCGCCAGAATCACAAAGGTGTTGCGACTTGAACCACGTCAGCAGTTTCCAGAGACAAGAAAACCTGTTGACCCTCGAAGCATTCGCATTCAGGTATGTTCGGCTCCAGCGACGGCGGCTTCCAAATGGACTGCTTCACGGGCTGGAGCGATCCACCTGTGTTCCCTACCGTGTAGGAGGCACATGTTCGCACGGCACTTCTTACGCTGCGGCTGTGTGGCTCTTTTGTTACTTGTTCTTCTGTTTTAAAGGACCTGGGAGTCCATCTTTCTATGCGGAGCGCGTGTGGAAGGAAGGACGGCTGGTTAAGGACCCGCGGAACCGTGCAGGGAAGGCCTGGGAGGAGGCGGGGGGAATCCCCCCAAAGCGTGTCAAAGAGCTTGCACGTGCAGCACTGCAGTTCTATTCCGATGCAAATCGCTGCTGGTGAAGAGTTGCCATGCGAGCTTTCCTCTTTTCAGGCATGTCCTTGGGAACGCCTGCTGTCCTGTTAAATTGCCTGCAGGTTTGCAGCACATGCCCGTAGACTCGTTTCAAGTTTTGGGACGTGTCATGCGCGCAAGCATTGTGCGAGGCTTCGCGATAGTTTCGAGCCTGGGCCCTAAATGTCTACTCGCTAGAGCAGTGAAGGATGCAGTTTGGGAGACGAACAGCTGGAAGCGTTCTGGGAACTTCCTGAATGCCTCAGAGATTCACGAGGCCTACAGTGCCTAGAGCTGTCGTAGTTTACAGTCATCACCAACAGTTCCTGGCAGCTCTGCTCGAGCAGAGAGTACGACCTCGAGCCGCCGAAACCGCTGCAGCTCCACCACCCACTGCTCCAGGCCAGGATGGCCTGGTGCAGTCAGCCTCCCTATCCCCTCATTGCTGCATGAGCTCATCGGGGAGATGAGCTGTTTCACTTGTGAGAGAGTCTGAGGCCATGCAGGGCCTGGCGATCTATGGCATGCCCTGTGTCGAGCGCAAGTGGCAACAGAAGGGGGAGCCTCCCCAGGCCTTATGTGACTTGTGTGACATTTGCCCGGGCATCTTTGCACCGTGTCCAAGAGGTCACTCTGTTTGAAGAGGACGAAGAAGAGTTGGCCAGCCTGAGAGAACGATGTGACTGGGCCATGCAGGACACAGCCTCGCTGTTCGCGGCGGTAGATCAGCTCTTGTACTAGAACCCCGAACCCCAAACTCTAAACTGCCCATGCCTGCCCTAAGCTTGAGTTCCATGAGACTGCTACGTTCTCAGTCGCTCACGCTTCCCGGGCCGATCTAATTAGTCGGCTTCTTGGCCGAAGGCCAGAGGATGTACAGATTTCGGAAGAGCAAGGGCCACTGCGGCAAGGGCTCCAACTTTGTACAGGCATCCCACCAGCAACATCCGCCGTGATTAAAAATTGGCGTGAATTGGCCCCACCGCAGCGTGCTGCAAGAGTTCATGTACAGTTTTGTGGCACATATGACGTAAGACCGCCGGAAAGCTGCGAAGCCTGCCGAGGCGGAGGCAGGGCCCCGGCCGGCCTGAGCCCCGAGGCCGCCTGCGGCTGGGCATGAGCTCCAGAGAAGCTGGTGCCGGACGTGTTCGTCAGGTGAAAAGTCCTCCGGCGGCAATTCGAAGGGAAAGGCCCAGTCTGACAGCTGCTTTGTCTCGTGACCCCTTGGTCGTCACACTCACACTGTTCATGGAACCCTCACAAGAACCTGCTGGCAATGGGAAAAGGCGAGAGTTGTGGAGAGTGTAGACTCCCATTCGCGTGCATGTGGACTGCAGAGTTGGCGTGACGATACACCATGCAGTGCACTGATATTCAGGATGGTAAAAAGGGCCAGGAGCTCAGGGGGTTTCGAAGGCAGCATACCGGGCTTAACGTGAGATGCGGTCAGCGGCTGTCACCTCCCTTGTGAGGCGGCAAGGGGAAGGGTAAAGACAGAGGAAAAGGAGATCGAGACAAGGGCGGAGGCCGCCATGCATGTGCCCTCGGCCATTTCGTGCATCTTTGTGCCATTGGCCCACGGATTCTCGAAAGCTCTGCCAGTCGTTGTAGGCCTAAAGGGGTCGCACAGGCCCTTGATGGCTTACTCAAGACAAGCCAAGCCATGTCTTGTTGTATTTTCTCCAATGTCGTGCCCTTTGCAGGCCTCTGTGCTACAACTGGCCGGGCTGCAGTTGTTTTCTCTGGTGCTTGTTTGGGAGTTGGCCGACACTCGGAAACTTCCCGCCCTTCTCCCATCTCCAAGCGAGGCTAGCTATACTGGCACATACTGGCAGGCGCCTGTTGTCTTCAGTTTGGGGCAGGTTTTTGCAGGCCTCGCTGGGCCTCGCTGGAGCAAATTTGGGCTCGCACAACCTGAGATCCTCGGGTCGCCGAGTCACCGATTAGTCCTTCTGTGGCCTGTCAAAGTCTGAGATTCTGGCTCTGTCAACACTCTTAACGGGAAACGTGCACTATAAGAAGTTAAGAAGACAGAGATAGGGAAAACAGATGCTGATGATCTCTTAAGCTCTGCGGCCCGACCAAGTGTGCAGGGCGGCCGGCATAAATTGTCGTCTCTTCGTTTCTGCTACTCTTAGCCCCTGGCAGGAAACTCCCAGAAGCAGGGTCAGGACCAAGAAGGACTGCTGGGGACAAACGACAGCTTGCCATTGAAAAAGTAAGAGTGGCAACTTCGAGGTGAGAAGGCTGGCGACGGAGAGGACGACGTGAGCATTCTCCCCCTTTTGGTAGCGGCCTGTCATGCCGGCAGCTTCCCTTGCAAGGAATCCAAGCCGGGGAAGGAGGGTGGCAAGGGCAAAGGCAAGGGAAAGGGAGCTTTGGCCGCTCAATTAGTTGGCTGACCCGCAACAGGGAATGAAAGACATTGAGAGACCGTCTTGCACTCCTTGCAAGGAAAAGGAAAGAAGGGCAAGGCCGAGCCGCCGACTGTAGAGTTTGGCGAAGTGCTTGGACTCAGCGCACGTGGCACAGCATGCGAGGTCGCCACCAAGATCGCCTGGGGAGAGCCGGGGTGCCAGATGGGTGGAGAGACGGCGAAAGGGTATTCACTCCGTGCAATTATGCACGATCTGCGGAACGTAAGCTTGCAGGAGTTGTATTGTTGTTCCGTGTTTACTTTGCTCTTTCCGTTCGCCCTCCTTCTGTTCAGTGAAATCGACGAGATCAGGCAAGCGCAACTGGGAACAGATTAACAAAACGAACGCGGTAAGTTGGAAGTGCAATGCTGGGTCTTTTTCTTAATGAAAAGCGCAGGGGACCATGCGCGCTTCAGGTTTGGTCCTTGCTTTGGTTCATTAATAAACACACGCACACATCCAAAGTAACAATCAAGGAGTACAAGAAGAAAGCACAGTGTTGTTTGTTTGAAGGAAGCAAAATGCAAGCGACATGAGTGATTTTGTTTGGCCTGTATTGGGCGAATCGTATCAGCCTTTCCAACAGTTCAGTAGTCCAGACAGACGGCAAAGACGACCGGGCGCGAATCCGCGAGGGGAGTGTGGGGTGCTTGCATTCCTTGTCTGTGCTGATGCAGCACGGAGAGAGCGAGAGATATAGGCTGAGGGAGTCGCTGAGTGCGACGGAGCACAGAACACTGCATGTAAATTGGAGCATAAGGATGTAAGGACAGACCCCTGCAGTCCCCGGCGGGCATCAAACTGTGGGCAGCGTTCATCATTCGAGGGGTTGGCATGCGATGGGCTGCGTGAGGGAAGCTCCAAGAAGTGTCGTCGATTTCTCGAGGCATTCGCTTAGAAGCGCCTTCCAGGCCCTGCTTCGTCGGCCGTCTTCGCAATTACAACATTGAGAAGAAGGCCCGGCCCAAGACTATGTTTTTGCTTTCGCTCCCAGAGGCCAGGAGCGGGTCACACCTGTGCAAACACCGAGAGATGTGTCGCGTGTCTCGCGCCTCGAGTCTTTTTTTGCTCCGGGTCGGACCAGGACCAGGAGCACTAGCAGCGCTAGCAGCGCTAGCAGCGCTAGCAGCGCTAGCGCTCCTGTGCATATCACCCAGAGGGTCGTGCATGAAGATGGTTCAGGACTGGCAGCTTAGCCAGGCTAGCCAGGGTTCCCGAAAGTCTTCGTGCAAGACTTTCCCGTCCTGCATGGAACCGGGGCAGACGAGCATCCGAGCCAAGGAAGCAACGATTTCTTACGTTCTGCTTCTTCTCGACTTCTCACGTTTTGGGACAGGCAGGCATCATCGCCTGCGCGGAGGCCTATGCCATCTGCGGCGGCCGCCTCGGCTGACGAACGCGTTGGTGGTCTCAGCGAACAGCTCCGAGGTCAGGAGGTGTATGCGTATGGGTCGGTCCTGGAAACTGCGAAAGTAGGTGCCTGTTCCCCAGATCAGCATGAGAACCTGCTGAGGTGCCTGAAGCTCTGCTGCTTGGACTCAGG